TCGGAGGATGCTTTTAAGGGCATGTTTTCATTAAAGAAAATCGACATGGCGAACAACAATTTCACGGGCCCTATGCCGACCTCTCTCGAATCCCCAAAGCTCATAGAGTTGAGGCTCGAGAACAATGGTTTTACGGGTCATATTCCCCTGATCAGCTCCGAACATCTTAAGATAATCGACGTCTCGAACAATCAGTTGGAAGGCCCGATTCCCGCGCCTCTAAGGAACATGAATCCAGCTTCCTTCTCGGGTAACAAGATTATAAACTCTAACTATGTAAATATGATTTCAGTTTTATGTATTGGTAGCAACATAAATCATGAACTACTAAAGTAAACATGGCTATGTTTTTATGTGGGAGAATGCTGGTTTTGGTTTTATAGCCAAGTAGCAGATGCAAAGACAAAATATAGCCATTTTTTTGAGGAAGTATGAATAATAACCATTCTGCCCTGCCTGTGCAATGACACGATTAACCTTGCTCACATATTTTTCAATCAAAGAATAATGTATAATTTCTGACACCCAGAAACCGTTTTCAAAATTCAACAAATCGATTGTAAAAATTTCAAGACATTGTTTACGTGTTCTAGAAACCATTTCTTAAACAATAGAATTGGTTCTGAATAGAAAAAATGTGGATAGGTCATTCTGGTCATTTCACACAGGGCAAAAACGACTATTATTCATACTTCCACACAAAAAAGTGACTACATTTCATCTGTTTTTTTACAAAACGAGAAGGCTATTTACTGATACTACCACTAACACTGACCAACTAAACCTAGGCAACAAGGCATTGTGTGGGGCGCCTCTCGACACGCCGTGCCCGCCCGTCGTCAGTGAGCCAGACGCCGACGACACCGCCACAAAAACCGATAACACGAAGCTCCGCACAGCCGTCATTGTCATCTCCATCCTGGCGGCACTTTTCGCCGTGGCCACCGTTCTCCTCCTCCTCATCGCCGCCAACCGCCGCCGCCGCAACGGCCACGGCCACCACCACACCCCCAGACTCGGCCGCGCCGTCCCTCCCGACCGAGACGTCGAGGCCAGCAGCAACGTTGCCACCCTCGGCGTCTCCGCCACGAAAAAACCATCTCCGAAGCCCGGCGGTGGATCCCCCGGAAACAAGCTCTCGTTCGTTTCCGATGAACGGCGCGCGACTTTCGAGCTCCACGACCTCATGACGGCCTCCGCGGAGGTCCTAGGAAGCGGCAACTTGGGCGCGTCGTACAAGGCGGTTCTCCTCGACTCCCCCTCGCCCCTCGTGGTGAAGCGGTTCAAGCAGATGAGTTCGGTCCCGCGCGGCGACTTTTTCGAGCACATGGCTCGACTTGGAGGCCTCCGCCACCCGAACCTCCTCCCCCTCGTCGCCTACCTCTACCGAAAGCACGAGAAGCTCCTCGTCTTCGACTACGCCGCCAACGCTAGCCTGGCTGCCCACCTCCACAACGGAGCCCCGACACTCCCTTGGCCCACCCGACTAACCATCCTACGTGGCGTATGCCGAGGCCTAGCCTACCTCCACCGAGAGCTCCCGACACTCAACCTACCCCACGGACACCTCAAGTCCTCGAACGTGCTGCTCGATGGGGAGTTTAATCCGCTGCTTGCCGACTACGCGCTCTCCCCTGTGATAAACCCGGAGCAGGTGCACCAGATTTTGGTGGGGTACAAAGCGCCGGAGCACGGGAAGAAGGGACAGGTCAGCAGGAAGGCGGACGTGTGGTGTTTAGGGGTGCTGATGCTGGAGGTGCTGACAGGGAAGTATCTGGATCACGGGTCGGGTTCGGTGGACTTGACGGGCGGGTTTGTAAATGGGATTGTGGGGGAAGGAGCTGAGGTGGCATTCGACAAGGACATGGCCGCCATTGACGAGGAGGAGATGAAGAAGGTTCTGGAGATTGCAAAGGAGTGTTGCCGGGAGGAACCGGAGAAGAGGCTGGATATGGAGGAGGTGGTCCGGCGGGTCGAGCAGATTCACAAGGAGTGCTGATTGATTTGGTTTGGTTTGTTTGATTGATTAATTGATTGTTAAGAGATCTTAGATTAATTTAAGGTAATTAATTGGTGAAGCAAGTGGTGAACGAAATGAAAATTTTGACTATTATTAAGTGTTTTTTTTTTTT